CCAGCAGCCAGCAGCCAGCAGCCAGCAGCCAGCAGCCAGCAGCCAGCGCCCAGCAGCCAGCAGCCAGCAGCCAGCAGCTAGCAGCCAGCAGCCAGCAGCCAGCAGCCAGCAGCCAGCAGCGAGCAGCAGCGAGCAGCAGCCAGCAGCCAGCAGCCAGCAGCCAGCAGCCAGCAGCAGCCAGCAGCCAGCAGCCAGCAGCCAGCAGCCAGCAGCCAGCAGCCAGCAGCCAGCGCCCAGCAGCCAGCAGCCAGCAGCCAGCAGCTAGCAGCCAGCAGCCAGCAGCCAGCAGCCAGCAGCCAGCCAGCAGCCAGCAGCCAGCGTAGAATATATATTGTTTAAACATAGTTAGACATCTGACATTAAACAATGTCTTGGTATTTTTGCCTGGGAGGGGGAGGGAGGAGGCAGGAAGGAGAGGCTCCACATTCTCTCGCTGCGCTGTGCGGACTAGTCTGCCGCGTCAATCCAATTTTTTCCAAAGCCTTGAAACCGCCTAATGGGTCCACGTTTTTCTCGCCCTGCCGGTCACAGCCGTGCAATTTCACCAGGAGACATCCAGGTCATTCTCGCTGAGTGCGAATCAGGCGTGACGAGGCTCCAACGGTCTATCTGGAGCCTGGAGAGGGGTGCCAGGGTTCCATGCCTCCAGCAAGCCGATACAGACACAAGCACACCACTGTGCTTGTGTCCGTATCGGCTTGCTGGAGGAATGGAACCCTGGCATGCGCAGATATCACCAAGAACCTGTGCTTGGTGAGTGCAGGCAACATGGGATGGCAATATCATATATGCAACTTTGCAAGTGGCAAGTGTCTGGCGACGTGCGCGAGCGGCCCTGAATCTTTGGCCCGCGCAAAGGCTTGAAAATCGCAGCCACACAGGCGGGGCCTCGCCAGTTGCAACTCTCAGCGCTTCAGCCAGCAGCCAGCAGCCAGCAGCCAGCAGCTCGCAGCCGCAGCCGCAGCCGCAGCAGCAGCAGCAGCAGCAGCAGCAACACCAGCAGCACCAGCAGCAGCAGCAGCAGCAGTAGCAGCAGCAACACCAGCAGCAGCAGCAGCAGCAGCAGCAGCAGCAGCAGCAGCAGCAATAAAACATGCAGGAACAACTTAATATTGCTTTCATATTACATACACCCAGTATACAGGCTGGGAATTTGACGTCATGCGCATCCCCAGATATTTCGCTCGAAAGGCGCCGCCGTCCGAGCTTCCCTGGTGTTCGCCTGCGCCGGCCCTGCGCGCACTTGGCGCCGGGTGGTCGCCCGAGGACCGCCAGGCCGTCCTGGGTGCCGTGCCGGGTTTTGGCTCGCGCCTGGGATGTTTTGCGAGGGTACCCTTTTGGTTTTTCCCTTTTTGCGGGCAAGGGAAGTTCGCCATGTGCTTCACGGGTTGGGCATTCCCCTTCCTTACCCAGCGTCTCCGCTAATTCGCTTCCCGCATAAAAAATGGGTACAAGTTTATCTCCTGAGCAGAGGTTGATTGTTTTTCACAAAACATCACGTCTTGGGTGGCATCCAGCAGAGCTTTTCAAAACACTGAAAGCCCAACGAGCCCCCCAGCGGCAGCGCCGATTTTCACCCACCAGCTTTTTGTCCACACTTGGAGGCTGCTTTATATCTTTTCATCGCGCAAGTTGACCAGGTGATAGTGTTGCCACCCTCGGGAGGCTTCCGCTTGCCTGCTGGAGGGCATCTCCGAGCACTTGTGCATGCTGCTGCGCTCCCAGGGGAAGGCGGGGGTTGGCAGGCCTGGCTGTGGCTGGCGGCATAGCTCGGATTCGGAGGTTGCGCTTGCTCCTTGCAACCCCTTGAAGACCTGACTCGCCATCAAAAGCCAAGCAAGTGAGGATTTCTAGGGCCGGTGCCACCAGTTTTGTGTTTAGAGTAGACAAATTTGTTTTGATTGCAACTCGCATGCTCCTTCCTTTGCCGTGAGGGACAATCGGCCGCATAGGAGAAGGAGGCAGCCCTGCTGAGCGTCATGAAGGCAAGCCTTCGGCGCCGATTTGTTTGAAGCCACAGCTTGGCTTTTCAACTTCTTGGCTTCCAGGGCTGCCAGCCTCGAAGCCGAAGGAAGGCAAGTGAGCCACCAGTTCTTGCCCCCACCCTACCCCACCCCACCCCCGCCCCCGCACCAACTGGCCCCCCCCCACCGGCCAGTTGGTGGATGCGCTGGCGGACCTGCGCTGGCCCGCCACGCAGGCTCGAAGGACTTGAGTGGAATCGGCGAGCCGGCCCACGGGTTCGAGATGGCGGGTCTCGGCTAAGCTGCCCCCCTGAGACTTTGTCAAGCAAAAGTCTTGCGGTCTTTCGTGAAAAAAAACATATATATATATATATATATATACATATATATATATATACCAGGAGAAGTGGGGTTATGTCAGCATTGTATGAAGAGCCCCCAAAGTGGTTGGTTTCTCTTTGGTGTCTCTTCCAGTATCCTCAAAACAAGGAAACATCCATAGTTCGACAACAGGTGCCAACAAGAACGAGTTCAGACTGCTCTGCACGCGCAGTGGTCGCTGGACGAATCTAGGCTTCCTGCAAGCTCTGGACAAGATCCCCCGGTTTTTGGGAATCTTTTGGTCTCAGCAACAGAGACAGCGGCGGTGTGGAAGTCCCAGGGCGCTGAATTTCGGTGAGCAAGTTGGTCGCTCTCTTCGGATCCTCCAGATCCTTCACCTTTGGCTTTTGAGTTTCTGTCCTGATCACCCATAGACCTGTGCGTCTTCCATAGCGCTCAAGGCTCAAGGTGTGGGAAACACAAACATAACACATCTGAAGAGTTGATTAATATTCCTGGCAGCAAAAAGAGCATGGGGTAAGTTTTCCCATGTAGTGAAAGTCACCTTTCAATGGTCATCCCATGGTTGATCAATGTTCCCCACTTCCCCCCAAGGAAAACACCTATAGCTTCTCAAACCAAAGAAAAGCCACGAATAATCATAGCAATGTTCTCCAATGAAACAACCAAATTATTTTTAAGCATGGAAAGTCAGGGTTCGTTTTTCTAGTGCGGAAGCTATGAGCGAGCTGGTTTTTTGGTCATCTCAAGCGCAGGCGCCGCGGCTGGCAGGCGCATGAAGCAGAGCTTTGAGCCTACTTGTTCCCTGAAACAGTCGAAGGGGACACCACGGCCGTCCAAGCCACACGAGCGATCTTCAGTTTACGGGGTTTGTTTTCTGAGAGTGTTGCTTTGTTCGCTTCTTTGAGTGACTTGAGACAGAGCTGTGCCGCCTCACATTCTGAACATGCACAGATTTGCGGCGTCCACTACAAGAAGCTTCCAACATGAGTTGTGTGAAGCAATCATTCTGACGCATGTCGGGAAAGAAGGTGCGCAGATTCAAGGATTTTCAAGGCAACCATAACAGAGTTGGCCTAGTCCCGACTTCTGCTCCATTTTTGGACCACAAATGTGGGTATGAGTGAAATTTTGGGGGACCCCTAAACATATTTTACAGTTTGTTCTGCTTCTTTCATTTTGCACCTGAAATGGGTATCAACCGTGCCTTTTTTCCTCTCCATCGTTTTGCTGGCTTGGGCTGAGAGGCGATGCCGCGGGCGAGGCCAGGCCCCCGCGGGACCCGCTTGGTGGTGATAGGCCGAGCCAATCTGAAAGGTCTTCAAGTGAGCTCGAAAAACCCCGCTACTGCTTAGTTTCATTCAACCCCAGCGACCCGAGCTGAATTGGTCGAGTGCCGCCCCGACTGAGTGATCTTTTGGTGTCTTGGCCGCGGAGCTCCCATGCAGGCGGCGCGAAAAGTCGCCGTGCCCTTCCCACATGATCAGAGCTTGGTGGAGGAGCCGGGGCAGGGGGCTCTCCGAGTTTTCTGGCGAAACAAACGTGGCAAGAAATGCCCTTCGCCGCTCAGCGGCGCACCCAGTTTGCGAGTTTGGGATGGGCCGACTCGTGGAAGTGCACCCATCCGGTTTTGCAGGTCCGAAGGTTGCGCGGGATGCTTCCATGAGCCAAGTGCTACACCTTTTATTGTTTGGCAGGCTGGCGCAACCTACAGCTGGTGGACAAATTAGGGAGGGGGACAACACATCGGCCGGACATTAGATGTTGAAGCTAGTCAGCCTTGCCCCCACCCCCCAACAAATCGAATGGAGCCTGCTGCTTCCGTTTGGCTTGCAACTTGTAAGCACACCCATACATACACTTGCATGTACACATACACATACACATACACATACACGTGCACGTACACATGCACATACACATACATACACATACACATACACATGGACACAGAGACACAGAGACACAGAGACACAGAGACACAGAGAGACACAGACACCCAGACACAGAGACAACGTGAGATTGAGACATACTGTGGATGGACAATATCCTGCACCACTTTGAAGCCATGCGGAAACCATGGTTTGTTGGTATTTACAAGAGAATCATCAGAAATCAGGGTTTCTTAGGTGGTGCGAAATGGATTTCGTCCATCCTCAGTATGGTTCCCCATGCGCGAACATGGTGTTTTGGGCCAGCGAGGATCTCGATGACTGGGCGGAGGGGCAGCTTCGCAAGCGCCGGCGGGAGGCAGCAGGGGTCGCTGGGTGACCCAAGCAGCGTGCGGTTTTGGGATGGGCAAGATCCTGTTCACACCGGGTTGGACAGGTGGTGGATCCCATGCCAGCTGGAGGACTTGTTTTTGGTCCATTCGCGCGAGCATCGCCGGGATTTTGGTTGGAGTCCAGATCCGTCCGCAGTAGGTGTCCTTTTAGTGGTGGTAGCGGGTTCGTGTCCTGTAGACTCAGGATTAGGATTTGGGATCCCTCCATTTTGAACAGCGCATTCAGGTCAAGTTGGTCGGAAATAGACAGATTCCACTGGTTTCAGTTTGATTCGAATTTTCTAGAAGGGCACTCAGTGCTGAAAGTGGGATCTCATGATTAAGACAGTTGGTTTCCACCCTTGGCTTCCCTCTTCAAACCATGCAAAGAGGGAGATGCACATTTTTCAGAATGTACAGACAGACGCTGGAAGTTGTTGCTTCCACCAAAGATGTTGATGCATTGATGTTGCTTCTCGTTCATCCTCTTCTTGCTCCTCTACATGTTTCTGTTGTTGCAGTTGTTTCGGATCAGTCCAGTTGGCAGGCGTGAGGCCAGCGAGTCGCTGCGGGCACAAGAGGAGTTGCTGGTTGCGAACGGGTGCATGAGTAGTGACATCAGCCACTGCCGTCTGAACGTAGATCTCTTGTCTTCCAGGCCAAATTCATCTTTTCCTTTCGAGAGCCCCGCCGGATTTTCGATCGTGCGCCTTCGTAAGCACAGTAGCCCAAGCCCAAAGAAGACGTGGACCGTCAGTGGTGCTCACTGTAGGGGAATGTACAGAGCAAGGTGCTGGGGGTGCCCGGTTTCACTGCCGGCATGGAGCACACAAATAGAGAAGCTCAACTCTAGCTGATGTCTTCGAGAATTGAAGGTGCTCAGGGTTGTGGGATCACTCGCGGTTTATCCCCACTTCTGTGCTACAAGGGAATTTTCCCCTGTGGGGGGCTAGTCTTTCGGAAGCCCTTGTTGTATCCCAGATGTGGATTCCATTTCCCGCAGCCCTGGTGCTTGTTGTTCACATCAGATCCATCTGTGCCAAAGCAGACGGCCCAGGGCAACAGCTTCGGAGCAAACAACTTGGAGGGAGGCTCAGGTGGCCGGGGGCTTTTGCTCGGCCGATGATGGAATTGCCGTGTGGATTGGTTGGTTTGGATTGGCAGTTTAGGGTTTGGGGTTGGCTGCTCTCAGATCCATGATGATTCATGTGCTGCTTCCTGGCGGCACGTGTGCCGTTCACTTTCGCCGTTCGCTTTTGGCTTTAGCGGGAGTGGGCGAGGGCTCGGGCGGGTCGTTTGGATTTGTCTCCGGATCTCCATCGGCTAAGCCCAAAAGCGCCTGAAGTTGAGTGACAGGTGAAACCCCCATCCCGACCACAAACCTCCCAGCGCCTCTCGCGCCCATGGCGGGTGGCCTGTCCAAGGGCCCGGCACACAACCAGCCGGAGGGGGGAGGGGGGAGGTGACTCGGCCTTGCTTGGCACAGGCGTGCCTAGGAAGAAAGGGGCAACTAGTTTGCATCAAGGGCTTGGGGAATTTGCAGGGCCGCGCCCAGCGCGTTTGTTCGGCCATGATTTTCTTCAGGTCAAGGGAGTGTTTGGACGGCCACAGTCAAGGGCTGTGTCTTGGTGCAGGAAAGGGTTTGCACATTTATCCCCCTGCGCTGCGGCGCTGGACCTGCAAACACGTTGCGTCATCGGTACGTGATTGATCTTTTTCAGCCGTTTCTGGAGCCAGCCGTAGCATAGAAGAGACCGTCTGGCCACTGGCAAGGGAGGAATTCAGACTTTTTATGCACAGGGAAGCAGCAGAGCGTGCAATTGAAGCCTCTCGGACACCAGAAGCCCTCTTGATTCCGTCCAACTCACCCAAATGATGCATCATGCGGAGTCCAGCTACGCAAGCAAGCGGAGTGGCCCTGCCGGCGAAATTCCCTTCGTCCGTCCATGCGTCTGTCCAACGGTCCGTCCGTCTCACCATTCATCCAGCGAAGGCATGCGGAGCTGCAGAGTGCACAACCTGAGCTCAAATCTGATGCATGCAATGGCACCACAAATGACATGTGGAGTGCGAGAGTAATAGCCAAATGTTTGCATCAACTCCTTGAAGTTTCCATGTTTGAGCTGTTTGCTTGTTCACCCACCCACGCTTGAACGACTCCTTAGGTGAACTGGTCTTTTCGTGCCCACTTTGGCACGACGAAAAGAAGCAGCTCAGCTCTTCGTTCAAAAACAGGTGGTTTGGACTTGTGGTTGGGACCAAGACTTGAAGCGAGTGAGCCAGATTTTTCGACCTCAACTCCCTACGGTCTCCAAATTTTGAGCGGTTTGGATTTACCTTCGCTTCCCGGCGCCACGGCCCCCGACGTCAGGTCGCGGCCGCGTGTCGCGGCGGCGCTGGATCCTGGGCCGCTGGAAGCTGAAGCCGAAGTCGAAGCCCCGGAGGTCGAGTCCGCGCATTTGCTTGCTGGTGCGATAGGCAGGGAAGGAGAAATGGAATGACCCCTACAAGGAAAAACACCCGAACGGCTTTCTTTAAGGAAACTTTCCAGGTTCATTCCCTCATTCCCTGACCAGCAAGTTTCTTCTGGACTGTGCTGCGTTTTGCCAAGGGATGTTCGGACTGAACAACTTTGGGCCAACGCATGGTTTTCCGGTATTAAACCGCAAAAAGTTAGAAACTTTTAGCAGGGGAGCAGAAAGGAGCCGAGGATCAATCTTCCTTTCGGGCCCCCCCAGTTCTGACCACGGGTAGCTTGTGTCAATGTAAAAAGCGAACTTTTTTCTTTTGGCATCTCGAATTAGCGATCCCTCTGCGGACTTTTGGCGTGTTGAGTCGCTGTCACCGTGGCGCGGGCCGAATTTCGATCACCCAAACCCTCTGCTGGCTTCAAGTTTTGGCGTGGAATTTCGATCGCCTTCTGCGGCTGCGGACTTTGCGTTGCATCGTCGCGTGGTGCGAAGTGGCAACGTTGAAAGTGAACCCTCTGTGAACTGCATCGACGCCGGACAGAGCCCGCGAGGATTCTCTTGCAAGAGGTGCAGAGAATGCTCTCGGGCAGAGTCCTGTAAATAGAGTTTCCTCTCATGGATCCCGCGCGCAGATCTTGGCAAGAGGGCAAGAGATCTGAAGCAAGGATTTGGCACCCAGATCTAGCCAAGAGATCCTATCAAGAGATCTCGAGCAGAGATCCTGCAAGAATCCTTGGCGCTATCCTGCGCTAGTCCTTCATAGCGATCCTGCCAAAAGGTCAAGACAAGACTTTCGTTCTAGAGATGTTGTAGAGGATGCTCCTTACAGATCTCGGAAGAGAACTTGCAGAGGGTCCTCTGAGGGATCCTGCGCATGGATTGCCGAGAGATCCTCTCACGAGTTCCTGCCCAAAGATCTTGCGCAGAGATTGTTCTTTTAAACCCTCCCACAGATATCTTGCGCTGGTCCTTCATAGAGGTCCTCGCAAGACGTCTTGCGCAGGATGTCCTTGAAAGAGATCTTGCAGAGGACGCTGTCTGCAGATCTTGACATGAGAATATGTAGAGGATCCTCTCAGCAGATTTTGCGATTTCCTGCCACAATCCTTCCTCTTGTGCAGAACCTCTGTCAGCAAGAGGTTCCCTACGGACTTTCAGAAGGCTTCTGTTTGAGGAAGGCCTTTGGCAGACACTGCCATTGCATGATTTTCTGCGCAGCAGCCTTCGATTACTTTGATGTTGCCTGCGTCGATTCTTTCGGCCACTTGCTGGCGAAAAATGCATGCGTGGAATTGTGGGGGCCCCTCTTCTGGCGCACGCGCGTATCCTATAGCTGATGATCTTGTTACTTGTTCTTCTCGGGGTGAACCGCCCGTTAGGCGTCTCGAGAAGACTGAGCCGGCCGCCGCTCATCGCGCGGAGCTGTCGTCATGGGACACCAGTTCAGGACTCGATTCCAGTCGACGCCCTGTACATCCTGTTTGGGGGCACTTGGGGAAAACTTGGTAGGGTGATGTTTAAGGGCAGATACAGGCTTCCTGTTTGCGCCCAACTCTTTTCGCTGGTTGATGGATGTTTAAGGGGGAAGCGTGGTGAGCTCTGTTTGTGGTCGATGGGTTGAGGGGTGGCAATCGGGACGAAGTCTGAGCTGCAGCTCAGTCAGTGAAAGGGATCGATGTGGCTACAGTAAAGCATGTTCGCTCCAAATTCTGTGCACTCGCCAAAGGTCAAACGCGGGACACTTCTGGAAGCCGACTTGAGAGATTGACATTTTCTGTTGAAGCTCCTTAGGCAAGCTGATTTTGCTAGGAAAGGACACTTGCCCAAGAATGTGGCTGAATGTTGACCCCTGATTCGTCCCCCGAAGAAGACATGAAACCAAACAAATTATGTGAGAATTGCTCATGTTACGCAAACTGAATTCCGGCGTTCGCTTGCCCATTGCCGCAGGTGTTGTCAAGTACACACTTTCTCTTGAACAAATAATGGGGCAGTGCTTGCTGTGATGTGTTTTTGTATGGCTCAGGGCAGATACGGAAGAGTGCTTTTGCGTGGCTTGTTGAACTCGCCCCCGCCGCCCCGCCACCCACCCCGAAGCCACAGACGCCGAATGTTGCGAGACCCGCTCGTGCCCGCGCCCCTCCCCCCCTCCCCCGCCAGCATACTTGTTGAGGGCCCGGGCGAGAAAAAGGGCTTTGGAGGCCGGCGTCCTGGCTGGCGGTTGAGGCGTCAGCTTGCAATTCCGTGCGGGCAATACTCGCTGGCTCCACGAGAACGCGGCTTGTCCGCCGCGGTAGTGTTGTCGTTGGCAAAAGTTTTGGGCGAGCAGGCTGTTCCGCAAGCTTGCTATAGTTGTTCACGAGCTTCTTCGTTTCCTTAACAACACGGAAACCGCAGGTAAACCGCAGAAACGCAGTCCCATCCCCACGTAAAGGGTGCCCGCCAAAGGGTTTTCACAGAGAAGGTTTGCAGCCTCTGGAAACTTCGGCCGCAGGATCAGAGCGCGGCTCACCCAGAAACGGCCCAACGCGGGAGCTGCGCCAGGCGGGGGGTTGACGCCTGTTGGCCTTCTAAGGGCAAAGCCATGTATCATGTATCCATACTGCGATAAAACAACAGTGATGTTTGCTGATGATGTTGCGGGGTAGCGGCGTTGCATTTTTGTGGTCGGGTATTACGATCTGTTTGCATCATATGGCAGATATGTCATTGCATGTTTTGTTAAGGTTACATCACATGTATCATTGCGCTATGTTGCGTTATATCAATTCGCGTTGTTTGCCATCATTATTTGCCTCTCCGTGGTGCTATTGTGCCACACCACAATAGCATTTTTACAGTATCGCATGTATAGTGTTATTGTTACTGCTTTCCGTGCCTTTCACTTGTATCACGCCATGTTGTATTGTATTGTGTTGTATTGTATTGTATTGTATTGTATTGTACTGTACAGTATTGTGTTGTATTGCATTGGTTTATCTTCATTTCTATAGTGTCTCAGATTGTTTTTCCATTTTTGCTTAGTTGGAAGGGGGTGAGCCTGGCTTGGCCAGGGCGACGGCGACTTCGTCCTTCCCTGTGGCTTATACCAGGCGCTGGGCAGGTGATGTTGATCCGGGCCCGACATCCGCTTTTGCCTAGCGCGACGCTCAGGGTTCGTCTGGGAAATGGCTGAATTTCTGGAATCCGAGATTTCATGTGAGCTTTTTGACGGCTGGTTGGTTGGTAATAGGGTCAGCCGCAAACTCAGGACTCAGGCTTGTCGACCATTTGAACGGCTCGTCAGCGTTGGCAACTGTGACCGTGGACCGTCCATGATGAAATAGGATCTCCGAGAACGTCGCACGGAAATTTGCACAGGGAGGGTTTAACTAACTTTTGCCAGTTAGTCCTGCTCTGCGAGCCTTAGGCTCAGTCCAAAGCCAAGAGGGAACTGGACCAGTACTCCTTTCAGGTTGTTTCAGCCAATGTTTGTGGTAAAGCCGGGGGGGGGGGGGCAACCGGGCAACCTGTTTGGGCCGATTTTCTGGTCAAGCTTTGTGACAAAAATGGGATGGAAGTGACCTAGTGACCTTTTGGATCTTCGGAGAACTCGCACGCCGCAGGCGCAGGTTATGGACTTGATGTACCGGCCACTGACTCCGGAGGAAGCCGAATCGATCCGCTGGAATCGCTCGGGACCCAAAATGGGACACCCCCTATGAATCAATGAGGGTTGATGAATCCGGGGTTCCCAACTTGGAATATTTGAGGGCGACAACTTGGACATCTCAGCACAAGTATTCAAATGCTGTGGACTCCTTTTCTACCGGAACAGATGCGAATGCGTAGATCAATTGCAGCGACTGAGAACTTCCGATTGCCCAGGAAGAAGAGCAAGAACATTGGGTAGAAGGAACTGCCAACATGCAATTCCATCAGATGGGGACAGACTTCCATGATCATTAGAGGTGCGGGCAAAAACATGCCATTCCATCAGATGGGGGACAGACTTCCATGATCATCAGAGGTGCGGGCAACAACATGCCATTCCATCAGATAGGGACAGACTTCCATGATCATCAGAGGTGCGGGAAAAACTTGGGACCGTCGCTGCCTGCCTGCTTCACTTGGCAGCTAGTTCTGAAGCTTTTTTGGCCCAGGTCTATCAAATATGAGATGTACTTTGCACGCTTGGCACCTAGTTCTGCTTTTGAACATGTTATGGTCCCAACTGCCTCTGCCAGAAGGGCAATGCATGCGACCCTTCCCCGATGTTGTCCTGCCACCATTTGCCAGTGGTTGGTTGCAGTTGCGGACCTTGTGGAAGGGGCTTGAAGGGAGACCAGTATCCATTGCTCTGCCAGGGGGTTCCTTATGTTTGGGATCCTTGACACACTGTGGATGGACGAAATCCATTTCGCACCAGCTCAGAGACCTTGGTTTCGGATGATTCCCCCTGCAAATACCAACAAACGATATGGTTTCCCCATGGTTTCATTTCGTGGCGCGGTTGATGGATTTTGCGTCCAACAGCATGGCCCTTGCCCGCCCGGCTCGTCGTCGCGCACGCCGCGCGCAGGACTACGAGCTGCTGAGGGCCTTGGACGAAACCGTGCCGAAGCGCAACACGCCACGCGGCCAAGGGCGACAGCGACTGAGAGGTCTGGAGTGGGGTAGAGCACATGGAAAGCAGCCTGGAAACACCAGCCCTCCACGAGTTTGACTGCGGTGATTGATCCAACTTTGGCTTGTGGGAGATGCTTGGAGTTCACTCGGAACTCAGAGGCTTCTCCATGGCAGAAACCTTTCTTCCCTTCAAGTGTTGCTTTCAATTCCCAGCTTCTGCTCCAGGGCCAAGGTTCCAATTCATTTTCTGATTTCTATTCCGTAGCTCTACCCCAAGGGCTTTAGGGATCTTGATGGCTACACTGATGGATCGAAGCAAGATGTTGGGGTCGATCTCTCTCAGGTGTTCGGCTCTTTTGTTTGCGACTTCCCTTCCAAGAGCCATCCACCAAGTGTTGCTTTCCGTTTCCTCTTGCGGTAGTTTCGGTTTCGGTTTCGGCGTCGGTTTCGATTTCGGTTCCCCTTTTTGCCGCAGTCCTGCCGCACGGCTCGGCCTCGACCCATCCACAGCCCTCCTCTTCCACCCCACCCGAGGGCCAGCCGCAGCTCGGTGGCGGCCCTCGTGGCGGAGCTCCCGAACCCCGAAGGCAGCTGCGGGGTGTGCCTCGAAAGCCTGCGGCGAGAAGTGCTGAGGCTGGAGAAAGGGGGCAGAAGGCTCAGGCTCGAGTTGTTGCATTATTATTATTGTTGTTACTATTGTTATTGTTATTGTTGTTATGTCTGTTATTGTTATTATTGTTATTATTATTATTATTATTATTATTATTATTATTATTATTACTATTATTGTTGTTACTATTGTGATTATTATTGTTGTTATGTTTGTTATTATTGTTGTTATGATTATTAATATTATGTGGATTTGAAGAACGCCTCTTTTTGCTTGTTGTGTGGGCAGCATTTTCTTGCCTCGTTCGGGGATGGGGTTTGGGGGTGGGTGGGAGGGCTGCTTCTTAAAACAAGTGTAAGCGTAAGTGTAAGTGTAAGTGTGTTTGTGTGTCTGTGTGTCTGTGTGTCTGTGTGTCTGTGTGTCTGTGTGTCTGTGTGTCTGTGTTTGTCTGTGTGTGTCTGTGTGTGTCTGTGTGTCTTTGTGTGTCTGTGTGTTTGCGTGTCTGTGTGTTTGTGTGTCTGTGTGTCTGTGTGTCTGTTTGTCTGTTTATCAGTGTGTCTGTGTGTCTGTGTCTGTGTGTCTGTGTCTGTGCGTCTGTGTGTGTGTGTGTGTGTGCGTGCGTCTGTGCGTCTGTGTGTCTGTGTGTCTGTGTGTCTGTGTGTTTGTCTGTCTGTGTTTCTGTGTGTCTGTGTGTCTGTGTGCTGTGTGTCTGTGCGTCTGTGTGTCTGTGTGTCTGTGTGTCTGTGTGTCTGTGCGTCTGTGCGTCTGTGCGTCTGTGCGTCTGTGCGTTTGTGCGTCTGTGTGTCTGTGTGTCTGTGTGTCTCTGTGTCTCTGTGTCTCTGTGTCTCTGTGTCTCTGTGTCTCTGTGTCTGTGTGTGCGTGTGTCTGTGTCCGTGTCTGTGTCTGTGTCTGTGTCTGTGCATATATATATATATATACATATATATATATATATGTGTGTGTGGGTGAGTTTTCCGTAGTAGGCATGATGTTGAAAGGGGACATCTTGAGAACCATTGGGAAGGGGGAGGGAAGGGTCAGTGAATTTGAGGAGGGGTCTTGGAGATTTTGGGTTTTGGGGGTTGGGGTGTTTAGGTAGTTTGCGGGTTTGTATTTGAGGGGTAGCCTTTTTGGTGGTTCCTTTGTTTGAGGGCGTGTTTCTCTCCAAGCGGGGATTGCTTTCCGCTTTCGGCTTCTTCGCAGACTGCCCTGCAGCCACGCCTTTCACAGCGCGTGCATCGAGAAGTGGCTGACGCAGTTTAAAAACGCGTCCGGGCGCCTGGCTGGGAAACGGGGAAGGGCGGTCCTTCAGTCTTTTTTTTGACCAACACGGCCCAGAATTAACGTTTGGGCGACCATGTGGGTTAGCAACTGGAGATGTCGTTTGTGTCAGAGCCTTTGGTGCAATTTGCACAGATTTGCCCATTCTTAGCGCCCGGCAAGGCGCGGAGACTTGAATCATGCCATCAACGATAGTGCTCGCAGGTCGAGAATTGGTGGCGAAGCAGCCCATTGGTTTGTGACGCGCTGTCGATTTTTTTGCCGTGGATGAGAGATGCGCGGGGACCATGGGCCACCCGCCTTTTGCCCCACTCTTTCAACTCTTTGGATCCTTTGCTTAACAAGGGTCCCTCTTTATTTCCCCCTTGTGGTGGTGAATTTTGCCTTCTGCCTTCGTGAGAGTTTCCTGGCGATGTTTTTTTTTCTTCTTTTTTTGCGGCTGTTGGGTGTGTTTCTTTGGTTGATACCCTTTTGCGGGCCGAAAAGGACGCCCAGCAAAAAGCCGCATTTTTTTGGGTACTCGAGGTGCCCCGTTTGCGCCGCCCCATTGGAGGGGCCTGGCGCCGCTGGCGCCCGCCAGGCCGGGCCCCGGATGATGCTGTGTGGATGATATGGGTTGGTTTAAAGGTGCAGGGAAACTGCCGCGAAACCCGAATTCCACGTTTGGTGATTCGCTATTTTGGGGGTTCCCTATGGGGGGGATCCCCATGTTGGCTCATGTGGGGAAGATTTTACCTTTTTCGAGCCAAGTTTTGCATGGGAACCCAGGATTTTTGGGACACCAATGGCAAATCCGAAGCCAAATGATGTCCACCACAGGGTCGCCAAACAAAATTAACACAAATGGGCGCCTAAGTGATTGGAATGCTTTAGAAGCCAATTGCGCCATCACGAAGAAACATGCTTGTATTGTTTTGCCCATGAGATCACAATCCAACCCAAATTGGATGAATACAGCACCATTGTCTCTTGCTTAACATATTTTCCGCAAACCGACTCAACGTTTTCTTTGACCACAAGCCCTCAAACTACTATTGGTTTCTATTTATCTCCTCACTTGCGCGAGGGTTCGGAAAACATGGGGGGCCTGGAACCTTCATGTGTCATGCGCCATCCCCTAAGAGAGTGAGATTTGCTTTCTGTCAAAGCACCCATTGGTATGGCAGCTGCTCGTCCCGCTGCAAATGCTGGACTTGAAAGTCCCCTTGAGAAGTCTCCACGACCCTTCCCAATAATGCGCCAGTACCCCTCGCCCCCAATATGTATATATATATATACACACATCTACAAATACATTAAAAACAAACAAACAAACTAAATACAAATAAAATAATAAACAATAAAGAAGCAAACAAAACAAACAACAAACGCAATGGGGACGTCCCCTCCCAATGTTTTAGCCAGTGCTATTTTTTGCCGCGGGCGACCGTGCGGCAGGCCGTTGGGCATTGAAGGGGTTGTACATACGACCTGCGGCCTGAGGATCCGACCAAACGGAGACACTTGCAACTTCGGGACCAGTTGGTAGCTTCCCTGTTCGGCCAAGATCAAAAGGGCATCACCTACCTGGAGGGATCCTTAATTTGGGGCAACCTTTTTTGGCAGACCGTGGCAGTAGGATCCCTAGGATGCAACAAATTCAGGCCCTGTGCATCTGAATTCGGCCGGGGAGACCACACGGCCACCAAGTCACAGCCGGCCCTTGCCGGTTCAAAACATGTGCTGCCGGGACGCTTTTGAGGGCCGAATTTAAGGCAGCGGCACTTTCTCATGGCCCGATCCCAGTGGAAAAGCTCGGCCGTGCGATATTCCGGGGCTTAAAACCAACAGCTCGATGGCAGGAAATCGAGGGCTGCTTAGAATGGCGGGAACGCCGCCTTGGTCGGTTCTTGTTTTGTCGCGTTTGGAGCAAGATCGAGATGGGCACAACTGTATACATGCAGCAAGTTCTGTTGATAGAGGGATGCAGCTATTTAAAAAAGCGCCTTTGACAGCATCCTCGGATTGCGATATTTTCCGTCCGTGCTGATCTGCCCCCAATGACTTCACCAGCCCTTAAGGCGCGGGTCGTTTTGCTTGCCGAGTCCTGGTTCCTTGACAAGATGAAAAGGGGTCTGTTTTTTACTTGCTTAGGGTTTGGGGTGGCCACAACTCAGCATATGGGCGCGCACCAGTTTGTGTGTTTATTTACGCATGTACAGGTAGTTGTCAGACTCTTGTAGCACTTTGCGGCACTTTGCCTGCCATGCACAACTCTGCTTGAGGATTTAGGATTGAGTCGAGTCGCCGTTACAGGTAAGCGGACTGATTGTCGCCGGAGCTGATGTTTCAGCTGGTTCTGGTGACACGGGTGTGCAGTTCTATCAGTCACTTCCAGTCGCTTAAACTGGTACAACAAAGGACAGGCCCAGGATTCCGACATTCAAGACACATGCATTCTGGTCGATTGCCGAGATGCCTATTTGATTCAGGTACCAGATTGTCAAAGACAGAGTCCGCCAAGGCCGCCCTATGCCCGCAATGTGGTCACCATGAGCCGTCGGGGAGAAGGGCGGGCTCGTTTCGAGCAGCTGCGGGGCTTGGCCCAAGGGCGGGCCTGGCAGCGTGCCGTGGAGGAGCTGGCGCGGGCCAATGCCGAGGGGGAGGCGTTGCGGGGGAGGCGTTTCGGGAGAGGCCGCTGGGCGCTTAGTTGCCTTTTCGTGGTAGGCAACTCGGAGAATTGGTTGGAGGTTCAGTTCCAGATGTGTTCCTAAGAAGCAAGCTTTGCGTCGTTGATATGTTTGCTTGACTGGTTTTTCATGGGTTGTTCCACAACACCAGCCCTCAGATCCTAAGGCGATGGTTTTGCTAGCTGATTGGTGGATTGCTTGCCATCGTGGCGCTGCCCTGTCAATGGCTGACAGTGCTAGGGTTTCGGCTGTGCCGAAGAGTAATTTAATCCATTTTACTTCTCAAAGTCTGAAGTAGAGGTTGCTGTATTGAATTCTGAATGGTTCTTCAGTCTCGCTTGGTCCGGAGGTGACCATACATAAAAGTCGGCTTTGATATCTGACATCTCGAAACGAGTCGAACATACTCTGTGTTTTCGATGCAAATGATGCTTTTATACAACAGCGACCACACATGTGTGCCAACTGTAGTCTGCTGTGAGTGTTTTCGTTGCTGGTTAGCTTCCTGCTCTATTGCTTTGTCTATCTTTTGATTTTCCCACGTCGCCCACATGAAGGGCAGATGTGCAAAAATGGATGATCCAGGTTCGGGTTTATGAAGGCACGTATTGGAGTGCGCGATTGGGTCCGCCGTTGGCAACTTCTCCCACTGTCTCCCAATGTGTTCCCAACGTCGCCTCTCCGACAGGTAGTGTTGATCTTCATCCCCTGCACTGTTTCGTTGGGGTTACACTGCATAAAACAAAGTATCGCGCCGCCGGAATACGCCCAGCTGGTGCAAAATCCGGCATGCAGTTGGAACCAGTTGTTCTTCCATAAAGATCGGCGTGGATTCCGTTCTCATCTGTTTTTCCCAAAGTTCCAAAGGTCAAGGTCGCCCCGTTTTGGGCCAGGGACGCCTCTCCTCGGTCCCAATTTTCGGGGTCGAAGCGGCGTGCGGCGGTTCCGCGGCAGGCGAACGTCTTCCACTTCGGGGCGGTGCTGGGCGCGTTGGCGGCGCTGAGCTTGTGGCGCCAGTGCTTGGACCTGCTGAAGGCGTTTTTGTTTTTTTTTGATCCGGGAGGGGTGGAATCTGTCAATGGGGGGCATTCCCCTCCGGTGATCCCCGAAACAACCCAAGGAGACACCCCTTTCTCTCTCTCTCTATCTATAAATATATATATATATATATGTTACAAAAAAGAAGAAGAAACAAAATAAAACAAGCAGTTGATGAATCTGGGGTCAAGGATTAACAAATGGTCAAGGATGAATTTGGGATTGATCTGGTCTTATAAAGGTCAAGGATTGAAGACTGGTCTTCAAAAGGCCTAACCCTGCAGGCTGTGACGAGTTCTCGCCTCGAGACGCTGCTCGGACTTGGACTTGGAAGGGCGACCGTTGGGAGCGGCTTGTGGCGACCTTGCTGTTCAGGGTTGCTTCAAGGATAAACCCAACACTACCGGCTTTACGAGGCGATCCTCCCAATCCTCCGGAGAAGGTGATTTTGTAGCTGGCCCAAATGTACCCTTTCAGGGACCGTGTTCCTGGTTTGCTGGAGGTTCCATATCTGTCCGGGAGGGTTCCGGCGCTTTTGGGGGCACACCTTGGGCAAGTTCATGCAGGGAGTAATCCAAGCCAATACTTGCTGATTCTGACTTTCACCCTTGCGAAGCAAATCCGCATCTATCCCCAGTGGGTTCTCTATGCAAATCAACTCGCAGCTTGCACACGGAAAGGCGGCGTTGAGTGTTGAGGAACGTGGTGCTCTACAGCTCATGCGTCACGGCGTGCGAGAAGGGCGCCCAATGGCTGTCGGCTAGCCGGTTGATGCAGGAGACGCCTGTGTCTTTTTGGTGTCCCTCAACATGGGCGGCGAACTCCATGCGGGCTGGGAACCTTTTTGCGGGACGGCCGGAGGTGGTTTTTCTTGACCCCAGATTCGAGTTGAGGTTGAAGTGGACATTTGGAACACCGCCCCTGGTACGAGCAATGTGCCGAATTGCGATGGTGCAAACCTCGGTTTGCAGTCCATTTTTTTACCGAAAGTGTTCTTCTTCTGCCTCTTTCTTCGGTTTGCAGGCATGAACGCACACAACCACAAACTAGCTTGCCGGGTGCCAGAATGTTGCCAGTGTTTTCCGAGGCCGGGTGATTGGGGGCCCCGAGTCTGGATGGCTCTACCTTGCCCGGAGATTTTGAGGGGATCGTCTTTTTCTGGTGTCGAAGAGCAAGCAAAAGGAAGCCATCACACTTTGAGACACACCCTTTTCCAGGAAAACACCCTGCTTTCCCTCAACCTTAGCTTAATCCTAAGCCCAAAATCCAACCTAGAGCCATCCACACCGCACGAACCGTCAACCAGCCCGAACCCCAGCTTGTTGTTTTGTTTTGCGGAATGCGACTGCAAGAAGACGAAACTTGTGCACCCCGCGAGGTCCAGCGGAAAAGTACCCAGAGCTGAAACAACCAGCAAGCAAGAGTTGAAGACCTACTGTGGATGGACAAAATGCACTTCGCACCACCTAAGACACCCTGGTGTCTGATGATTCCCGTGTAAATACCAACAAACCTCATGGTTTCAACCATTTCCAAGTGGTGCGGTTTATGGATCTCGCATATTTCGCATCCATCCACAGTATCTCGAAGGCGGTCCAGCAGGTTGGTCCGTTCGCTTTGTGTAGGAGCTCGCTGCTGGGGCAGTGGAGACGGACACCAAGCTGCACAGCGCCGCCATGAGCTCCTACGCGCAGGCCGACCTGAATTTTTTCCACCGAAGGTCCGGGGATTTGCGCAGGTGGCTTCATGGGAGTTTACAGGAAGCCAAGCAGAGTACCCAGCTTTTGCATGAGGTGACCTAAATTTTTCTCCCGTTGCCAAGTCACAGGGCTCTTGTCAACTGGGAAATGGCGGGCTGAGGTCCAACTCTTCGTGGTTTGCACAGAGAGAGAGAGAGAGAGAGAGAGAGAGAATGAGACACCCTCTGAAACATGACCCGAGTCTTTGAATCTGATTTTAATTCAACGCAAAACATAGGGCTCATGATGAAATTCCATCTTCACAACTTTCTGTTCGCTTGCTGGTGCGATAGGTAGGGAATGTGGGAATGCACCCAGAAGTTCCCTTAAGGGAAACCACCAGTTGGATGGGTTATAGGGTTCACTCCCTCATTGTTTACAGGGTGAAGAAAATGAACTGGTGTTGGTTGGATTCCCGAACAAAGGAAACCATACCTTGGTCTTCCAGGACCCTGAAAAAGCAGGCCTTTGGCTGATTTTCCTTTTTCAACCAGCCAACTCAAGAAGGACCCTGTTTTTGCGGGCCCTGGGAAGACCAAGGCATAGGAACCGGATGGTTTATAAGGTTTATTCCCTGTCTCATTCCCCGCATCTCTCGCACCGATCGCAAGTCTCCCGCGAGCTCTGGAGGCCTCCGTTTGGCAGAGCGCCATGCTGGCGCCGCTGCTGCAGCTGGCCCTGGAAGTGGATGTGGTGGCGTTGGGTGCGGCGGCCAGCGCCTGTGAGAGGCTGGGGAGAGCTGGCGGGTTTTTAAAGCGGCTTTTTGGTGGGTGGGGTGAGTGAATGCCTCGGATAAGGCTGAGCTCTCTTGGCAGTGATTTTTTTTGAGGGGTCTGTAATAGAGCCGCGGCGGACATTCGTTACAGACCTCGTTACACACCTCTGTAACAAGACCAGCTGGCTCGTTGCACACCTCGCGTTACACACCCTTCGTTACACACCCTCGTTACACACCCTCGCTACACACCTCAGATGAACAAACCGGGTCAGTGACGTGACTGCCCTCTTTTTGCCGCAGCTTGGCTTGCGCTGAATAGCTGCAATCCGTGCTTTGCTTTGCCTCGTTACAGACCTCGTTACGTAGCCGTTACATACCTCGTTACAGACCCAACCCCAGCCCGGGCCAGCGACCCCGCTTTTTGCCGCCGCTTGGCTTGCGTTGAATAGAGCTGCGGCGGCGTGCTTTGCGTGCTGCGCTTTGCTTTTGCTTCGATACAGCGTTACAGACCCAACCCCGCCCCGGGCCAGCGACCCTGCTTTTTGCCGCAGCTTGGCTTGCGTTGAGTAGCTGCAATCAAGCTGGAGCTGCGGAGGCGCGCTTTGCATCCTGCACTTTGCTTCGCCTCGTTACAGACCTCGTCACATAGCCATCACATACCTTGTGTGCTGCGCTACATACAGTGTTCTACTGATACTGCTTGTCAGGAAATGTTTTCCCGTTACAGACCTGCGTGACAAGGACCTCCGTTACAGACCTCCGTAACAAGATTTGTGGCGCGTCGCGCGTTACAGACCCCTAAAAAAATCATAGCCTCTTCATGGTTAGGTCAAGTCGGCCAAGTGTCTGCACGTGAGTTTTTCTTGTTGGGGGCCCAAGAAGGTGAATGAATTCCACCCCCCCCCCCCCCTTCTCCCCCCCGCAAACCCCTCCCCCCCAACCCAACCCCCCAATTTTCGCCAACTTGGTGCACCTTTTACAGCTCGAGCCGCGCGCCTCAGATCCCTGCGCTGGGCGCCGGCCTTGGAGCTCCAGGCGTCCGCGGGGCGCTGGGCGCTGAGGGCCAGGGGCCGGGCGCTGGCGAACGCGAGCCTCAGCGCGTGGCTCGGCTCGGCAAGCCGAACGGGCGGTGGGGCAGTGGAGGGCGGGAGGTTGGGGTTGGGGGGTGGGGTGGGGTGTGGCAACTCCTCTTGGGGGCTGGGCTTTTGATTGGTTTGGAGTTGGATTTGAAGCCTTGGTTCTAAGGGGTCCGAAATCACCTGAGCTGAGCAGAGCTGCGCGGGTGCTTTCAGCCCGGATGACTATACCTGGCATACATTCGGCATCCTTGTCTCTATTTCTTCAGGAAGGGGTTTCTGAAAAAGTCTACCTCAAATGGGTGCCTCTTTTTGTTGAGTAAGATTTAGCGAACATAACATTGGTGTTTTGGCGTTTCTTCGGATGGACGCCGGGCCTTTTTTCTCCGTAAAAAAAAACATGCCGCAAAGCAAAGCCCAATGTGCACCCTAATGGTTGTTTTGTGAAATCCCAATGATCTCTGGGGCAAGGCGTTTTTCTTGCTTTCCCTTGAAAGGCGACCCCAAGTTTGGCATCAAACAAAAATACATCCTCCCACGAGTTTTTTTTTCTTCTGGCATCAGACCGCCCGACATCAGCCCGAGATCGATCGCATGCGCTCCCAGTTGCGCGGCGCGCTGGCGCCGGGCGCTGCAACTGCTCGCCGGCTCCGAAGCGGAGCCGGACCTCATCGCCCACAACGCCTACATCAACGCGGCGGAGAAGGCGAGCCGTTGCTCGGCGTGAGCGCATGGGTATGGGAGCGCATGGGTATGGGGCCGGGGGGTATGTTGTGTGGGGTGCTCTTTGCAGGGTGGTCGAAAGGGAAATTAATTGGGAAACGGTGGTTTTTTGGGGTCCCGCGATTTTTGACACCTTAGAGTGTTTTGGCACTAGCAGAAGGCGCCATTTGATGACAACAGGTGGAATCCCTATTACCCTAGTGTCAAGCATGGATCTGGGAACAAGTTTTTTCTTTTTTGTGTGTGGGGGGTGGGGGGGGGGGCGCTTTCTGTACCAGCGAATCCCCGTTGAGAAGTGGTAAGGATGCCCCACATGTTTCATCACTGAAAGGATACGAGTTGCAATTGGTTGGACCATTTCAGGGATTCTTGTCGACCAACCACTTGGGGGAACCACTCAAAACACCGCCCCCCAAACATTCCCTTTCGGCTTCCCCAAACAATTCGTCTTGGCTGCCATTCGTCTGCCCTGCCTCGGTAACACTAATTAGTTTGCGATCAGTTCCGGCCTTGGCATCCCGGCAACATGTGTTTCATGGGAGTCCTTGGAGAGGACGTGCCCCTGTGAATCACCTGTTTGGGCAGTTCCGGTGGTGTGGGGGTCCATTTTCGTGGTGGTTTCTGGAAAGGATACATGCTTCATCGTGTGCACCATGCAAGGGCCGCCCTCAAATGGGAACCAGCGTCACCATGTTGATTCACTTTCGATCCTGGGTTTTGAGACGCCGAGGTTGTTCAATTAGTTTCGGTGGGTTCATGAAAGATAACGTCATTCAGCTGGCTGACTATGAACACAGCACGTAATAAAGGATGACACATATTTTATGGATCCCTTCTCAGAGGGGATGCTTCACTTGAAGGGGAATCACCAACTAGTCTAACATATTTCTACTTGAGCTTCTGTTAATCTGTCCGACTTCTGACTATGACGGTGCTTGCCAAGGGCGCCGTTGTGGCCAGGGAATCTTCAGCTTCCTCCCAGACAGGTACCGGGACCCTGGTAAGAGAGGAGCGGGTTCCCATGCAAGTGGGTAGAAGTCAAGAAATCGCGGTAGCATGCTTATGACGCGGAACTTGATAAATCACATGGACGATTTCCATAGACATGGCAAGCAAATGGGATTGGCTTATAGTTTGCCATGGCTCGGTCTACGTGGCACTTCTAGTCGAAAGATGTCGCTGCGAACTCTGTTGGTTGTTCCGGTGTGGCTTGAAGCCCTTCTCCTTTGAACCAAGATGACCCCAAGGAACGAAACAAAATTGAGTTAGCTAAGTGACCGGGAAGCCAAGCCTTTATGGGCAACGCCATCCCTTTCGGTTGGCGGCTTCCTCCAGCTCACAGAGCCGAGCAAAAAAGCCAACGCCCAGCCCCCCCCCCCCCCCGCGCGCCCTGCGGCCGGCGGTTTTTCGAGGCTGGCAGGACGCCGTGTGTAGCCTGCGGCGCTTGCCGCAGCGCAGCCTTCGGGCGGACGCCTTCTCCTTGGCCGGCGCCATCGCCGCTGCCGGCGGTGGCCACTGGGAGGCGGGGGGTTGGAGGGGTTGGCGGGGTTGGCGGGGTTGGCGGGGGGTGGATGTGGGGCAATGTGTTGGGGAGTGTTTCTTTGGAAGAGCCACAACTAGGGTCCTCAGGTTTGTTCCTTGTTGGAAGGGTCAAATCGTTTGGCCTCAATTAGGAGGGTCTCCCTTCAATGGTGCCATATTCTGGTGGGAAGCACTCCGTTGATATCGTGGCTTGCGACTCGCACAAGCGATAATTTTGTATCGGGGACCCTTGGGTTTGGGTGGATCATTCAGGTGAGGATTTATGTGTATCAAGATTCACAGCCGCACGCGTGCCTCGTGTAAGACGCAGTGACGAAGGCAAGGGATGAGTCCCAAATCTGGGACCTTCCCGAGCTATCTCCTGACCCCCGTGAACAGAACCAATCCACAAAAACCATCAAAAACCTGTTGTCTTCCTTCAAATGCGTGCCCTGTCCGATTTAGCGGTGTTTTTTGCAGGTTTGTTTGCCGTGTGTCAGGCAGACTTCTTGCGTTGGCTTTTGGTCTTGTGAATGAGATGGAGTCAGGCTAGATTGAATTCGGCGATCCTTGAAGGCATCCGGAAGCGATATGCATTGTTTTGCTTCATGCGTTTCTTTTCCCTGCTGAAACATGCCGTCTTTGAAGAAAAAGTCAAGCCACTGTATTGCTCAGCGGGTGCTTGGATTGTCATTCGGCTGAGCAACTGGAGGCATTCGTCCAAACCAAAAAGCATCTCAACCTGATTCAAATCCTAAAACTGTGTGTCCCACGTTTTGTTTTGCGGAACCTCCAAGAACCATCCGCTTTTCGGCCCCAAAGTTTCCACAAAACCGCCTCCCAACTCTCTAGCCCTTCCATACCGCCCCACCTCTCTTTGCCGTTCTTCTTGGTTTCTTTGGCTTGCTTCCCTTTGAACCACCAACATCCAGAGTGAGTTTGAGGGCGGACGGTTCTTTTCCCACCACGGCGGCCCAATTTTCAGGCGTGTTTCCCACCACCCCCCCCCCCCCCCTCCCACCCCCTCCCCCCACCCCCCTCCCCTGTTTGTTTTTCGGACTCATTGATCTCCACGCAGCCTTTACTGGCTCTGAATTGTCAGATCAGCAGAGAGAAAGACTGATCAGTGCAATGTCTTTGAGAAACATCTCGCTCGAGAATGACAGCTACGAGATGATGAAGACACAGTATCACGATCTCTTCATTACGACAAGAACATCCATCCAAGATCCATCCATCCGACCTCGCGGAGGAAATCAGAGTAATACCTCCGTGAGTTTTCCTGAAGTTTTATAAGTAGCTCCATGTAAATTTCTAGGGTTTTATGAATAGCTCCTGGCATTTCTCCTGGGATTTTATAAATAGCTCCTGGGATTTTATAAATAGCTCCTGGGGCTCACCATTAAAGAGCCTGACGCACGTCCTAACTTCTACATCCTAGAACAAGGGGAGTATGAAGGCGAAGAAGGTTTTTGGGGGGAAGATGAAGAAGGACTGGAAGGATTCATGGCAACTAATGATGAAGAGACAGTTTGGGTTTTGGAGGAGAATGATGCGTTCATTGCAAGGAATGTGTTTGGGCGAAATTTCAGATTCAAAAAAAGGACAGGGAAAGGAAAAATCAGGAAGCAAAAAGGGCAGTAACCAACGAGGTGGCTTCAAACCCTTTTGAAAAAGTGGCTCCGGCGGGAAGGCCAATCTGGCCAACGAAAATCAGGATCCCTACGACCAGGCATTTTGGGGAAAAGGCAAAGGAAAGACATATCCCTATGATGGAAACCTATGATAATGGCAAAGGAAAAGGCAGACATGACAAATGAAAATCCAAACCGTTCGCAGCCACAGCAGAGAGTTTGGAGGAGCTGCCCGCCAATCAGCAGACTGCACCATCCACACGGAGCCTACGTATGCCAGTTGGACAGACCAAGATTGGGATCCATCATGGAACTGGAGTGAATCAGGCTGGCACTCATCCATGAGACATCCAGCACAGGACAAGCATTGATGGCATTTCCTGACGCTTTTCAGCAGCATGAGAAAGAGGACATCCACGAGAAGCTGATCCAAGACGATACAGTTTCAGAACACAATCTGGCTGCGCAGCCTTTTGGCAACAAAGCTGATGGCGCCTGTCATCAACCCACAGCGCAATCCGACCTATGCGAGTTTGGACAACGGATGTTCCAGATCCATGGGCATGCTCATCTCCTGCCAGTACATTCCGGCCAAGACCAAGCTCACATTTGCCAATAGAGAGACAGCTAAGGCCAATAGGACCTTGCGTATCAAATATCACACGACTTCTCCAGCCAGGCAGGTACCAACGTCGACGTCCCTGAACAAGGCACTGTACCGATTCTCCAGCATCAGTCAGATGCGGAACCTCTACATGACCATTGAGCACACACCTCAATGTGACAAGATCACATGCAAGGTCAAGCGGTTCCAGTATCCGGTACAGGACATGCGCTGGTCGATCTTGCTGGAGTGGCAAGAGTGAAATCACATGGAGAGATTGCTGCAAAAGGCCTCACAAATTATGTCTACGATGATGAGAACAGCATCAAGCTTCCTGCCGGGGAATACTCCAAGAGAAGAACTTTTTGTGCATCCAAACCATCCGAGACAAAAGAGGACACAGCAACTCTTGACAAGAAACACAAGCAGCTCATCCGTGTGCGCATCACGCCTGGTAAGGCGCTGTTCACACCAACAGATGCGAAGGAATGTCCAATCAATCCTGACAACATCAGCCGAGAACGTGCAACAGAAATCATTGATGCATCCAAGCATCCTAGAAGACAATTGGAGACTTACATCCCAGGCGAACAAACCGATGATTAACCTGTGGACACTCGAATCGGGCCACGAAACATCATTGCGGCATACGATTCCGAAGGGCAGGAATTGCAGACAAATTGCTGGATCATGAAGAAGCACCTGGACAAGGAAGATCTGGAACAAAGATCCAAGAATTCGCACAGGATTTCTTCGCTCATGTCAATCTCAAAAGAACACATCCACCGAGACCAAGAAACGACGTTCCACTGACAAGGATGGACGATGATGAACCGAGAGTGGAACTCGCCAGGGAAAGAACCGTCAAGCACAGGGTCACGATGGAGTACATCAATCCTGACAACCTCGCCGAATTCAACGAGGAGTTCCAGAAGGTCTACCTCGACCGAGACATGAGTAAAACTGAAGCGGAAGAAGAACTCAAGACCACCAAGGAAAGCGACAAGGACTTCATGCAAAAGCATGAACAGGATCCTCATCCAGACCTCAACCAATGCGAGATTGATTCCCTGAAGCACGTCGATCCTGACGCACACGTTGAGGAAGAAGCTTTCTGCTTTTGCCGCCGCAGCAACAAGCCAACCGTGGAAGAGCGCAGAGCTGCGCAACCAGCATCCGGATATCCGGTTCGACTGCCACTTGGACTGAAATCTCTCAGGAAACAAGATGATCCTGATGTGATCAAGGCATATACGGACATCCTTGGATCCTTGATGCAAGCAACCGAGAAGCCAGCTCCAGGCACGAGACTTCATCCATGACCATCAACGTGCTCACAATGCATTCTGGGAACCTCACGAGGAATCCGAAGTTGGACGGCGGAGAGTTGAAAAGCATGCCCATGCAAGACAGACCCATCACACGAATGTTGCTGCGCAACAGTGCTCACATCATATGCCTCAATGAAGTGGACGCGTTTCTCAGTTCGCAAGACGAAAAAATGCAAGGAACTCATCCGTTTGTTTCTCCTCAGGATACAAGGGCATTGTGATCAAATCCTGGTCATCGCATGTTTTGTCCGTGGCAATGAGCGCGCCAGAGTCGAGCTATTGGCAAGATACAGCTCGACAAGATCCCAAAGCTGGGGAACCACATTCGGTGTGTTCAGATGTTTCTTCGGGCCGAGATCGATTGCACAGATCCCGAATATGATACGCCAACCTTCGACTGCCTGGCAACGACCGGACCTCATATGTCCAAGGAGAACCTCAAGCAGTATGCCGGCCAGAGATTGCCTCCTTGCACTTCCATCCATACATATGGGCACAACGGTCAATGAATTCCAAGGGGCGTTGCCAAAGTCAACCAAGGCTCCAAATACTAAACACATTCTTTGCGCCTTCCACATCCATCCGAACATCACTCATGGAGCAGCCAGAGATGATTTTCATAATGGAATCATGCCACCTGTGACCACGTACCAACGCAATTCAATCACCGCCGATGCCAACAAATCCGCCAACACGTACAGCAGATTGCAGCGGGGCTACAGTCCTGAATACGGACTGATGAACCACATCATGCAGGTATACCAAGACACATGGAACGGAACACTGGGGATGCCCATTGAAAACGGATTGGATTATGCCATGGCGACTTCTTGCACCATGAAGGCCATTGTTCGTCACCACCTCTACATGAAGACTGGTTCCGGCAGTGATCGAGCATTCCCAGACTGCATGATGACATTCGTATTTGGATGGGGAAAAACAGACATTTAACATTGATTTCGAAAATCAGAGATTGATTCAATGGCCAATGAGGACAAGAAGGCCATGCAGGACAAGACCTCACTAGCCCGCTCATGGTCTATATCCAAAGCCGATCCGAAAGCAAGGAACGCGATACTGAAGAGTCAAGGAATTCAACCAGAGGAAGAAGGAGAACACTTGGGAAGTTCCTGGCGATATGGCTACGACCAACAGGGATGGAAGGGCTATGGTTCTTCGACCTGGCACGACTACAGTCAATCGGAGGCCAGCAACCATCCGCTGAGACGTTTTCGGAAGCTCGAATGAGAGAACACCCGAGAACGGCAACACGAATACCGACCAATTGATCCTCACCATCAGCAAGACTATTCAGTGAGAGATCACTAGTTTCACACGGATCCTGCATGTGCGTAGCATTGTGCGTCGTCGTTTGATACAGTTAGGTATCCGCAACGAGTACAGAGCTTTCTTTTCCATTTACCAACAAAGACAGTTCATCCACGCAGACAAGGGATGAAGATAGTATTTTACGCCTAGGGCTTCGCCATCACCAGCTGCGCTGGCCGGTCGGACAGGCGAGATCTAAGAAGAACTCTGTTTAGGCGGGGCCTTGTTTCAGAGCCTGGCCTTCAGACCACCCAAGCACGCGCTCGCTGCAAACCACACGCACAAGAGGCTGCAAGGTTGCTTGCCCAACCCCCTGACGCTGAGCATGCACTCACCCCCACCTAGCTTGAGCGCATGTGTGCCTGCTTGCGTCCGGCGCTTGTGTCCGGCACGCGGCGCGTGTCTCACACCGAAAGCCAATCAGACCCAAAAATGCGTCCCCAGCCCGTCCCAGCCCCACAGAAACCGAAAAACACAGTATGCGTGATGTTTTCCGCACAGCGGCGGCGGCCGCACTTGCGCAAGAAAAGCCGCTCATTCAATCGCAGACTTGCCCGCCATGTCCGCCTACCGCAAAAACCTACTCTCAGGGGGCCATTTTTGAAGAGTTTGAGCGATGCAGGGGATGCAGAAAATGTAAGGGATGCTGGAACGCCCAGATGCTGGTGATGCAGGGATTGCCGGGGATGCTGGCAGGACGCAGAGGATGTTGGCGGGGATGCTGGCGACTGTCCGGGTCGATTTGCACGGTATTTACGCAGGCAATGCTGAGGAGGAGCTGGGGGTGCAACAAAGCACGTCAGCGGTATACCCTACGAGTAGGGTTGCCCTCGCTCTTCGAGCTCGAAGACACACAGCGCAGATGGATTTTGACAAGATGTGTATGTTATCTGTCATTGGTGACGGTCAAAGGCCAAGAAGCCAATTCCACAGTAATTCAGTGCTGGAGATCAAAAGAAGTTTGTGTCTGTTTTGTGTTTGTTTTTAGGACTCATTGATCTCCACGCAACCTTTACTGGCTCAAGGCCTTTCATGTCACACACACACACTCGATGTACATAGCTCACTGAGCCATTGCATCCGTAATACAAAGGTACGACAACGGACCACTTTCAGGATAATCCACAACATACAATCTACCAGGGCTAATCCAGTATCAATCCATCAGTATTGACACTTGGACTCTCCGGAATAGATTCAGGGACCTACCAAATAAACATCCTGGATAAGATACCCCCGGCAGTGGGACTCCCCCCCCCCAATTTTCAGACCCTTGGGCCTTGTTTGGTGTCTGGTCCTCTTCAGTTTGCTTCCAGTTGGCCTCTCGGCTGCTGACCGGGGAGCCCTTGACCGCCACCGTGGCCTGCTTCAACGCCTACGCCGCGGCGTGTGGCGCGGCCTTTCAGTGGCGCAGGGCCCTTCACGTGGTGCCCGTCATGCAGGCGCCTCTCTCTGGCTGAGGGAGGGAGGGGCGGTGAAGAAAGGTTGGAGCACCGCAGAAGTGATAAATGGTTGTTCGAAGGATGTCGCTGTTTTTGATTTTTTGGGGGGCTTGCACATTTGGAGGTTTGCTAGTGACATGGAGGGTCTCACCATGTTGTTTGTAGTTTGGAGGGGACAAAAGCTGAGGCAGAAAGTGTAGGAAAGGGTCCAAATGATTTGTTTCCGCACTTGTGTAAGTATCCATGGTTTTTGCGCCAATCTTTTCGTTCCACTTTGGACGACTGAAGGGGTGCCCAAATAGTGGTCCGTTCCCAGCGGGGCAAACAAAAACACAAGTTGGTTTGCACTGGCGTTCTTCCGACCCTCTAGATGTCAGTGTCTGATCCCAAGACGCAAAACAACATGCTCAACCAAATTAAACCACCAGGGGACCGCAGGTGTTTGTCCTTGTTTCCATTCGCCAGGGTTTTCCGTTTTGTGTACCTATGTTTGACCCACCCAACTCTTCTATGAGTTCCAACCCTGGGTGAGACAAAACAGGCCGTGAGCCTCAAACAACTGGAATCGACATCGATGGGACGGCCCCGCAACAAAGACCTCCCGGCAAAAAAAACAAATGCCCCTCACCATTCGGCGGCCCGGAAAAAACACAAATCCGGCGTACCTGTTTGGAAGACGTTCTTTTCTTTCTTTTTTTTGGGGGGGGGCCTGGAATTCTCGTTTTTTTTTTGGGTCCCCACCCCGAGTGCACGGCGCGTCTGGGGTTCGGCGCCCTGGGTGCGTGCGACCTTCGGCGCCTTCGCTTTGGAGGCGCGGGGCTCCGCGGAGGCAGTGACCTGCAACGCCGCGCTGACGGCGTGCCAGGTGGCCACTGCGTGGGCCGGCGCCCTGAGGCTGCTGGAGGCGCGAGGGGGGAGTGGGGGGAGGAGGGGCCTCGAAGCGGAGGAATTTTTGGGTGGGACCGAAAACCGCCGGCCTGAGTGGCCACTTTGTTTTTATGGCCGCAAGAACCGGCCAACCTGAGTGCCACTGGATGATTCGCCTTCCACTTCAGCCTTTTAGTGATAAAGCCATGCAGAGTGCCAAAGGTTGGTACAATGGATTTGGCCTTTGTTTTAAAACTCTGGTTTGAGCCATGGTTCAAACCAATACTGTATTGTTTGAGCAGCCTCCGCTTGGCTCCCTGGGTTTTGGGGCAGGGATCGGTTTCCTCAAATTTTGCCTCTCTGGATAGTGAAAGATGGATTCCAGTCGTTGGTCCCACGCATTTTGCACTTCCTTCAAACGACTTTCAAGAACCTTTTGGCTTAGAAGGGTCCACAGATTGAATGGTTCTTCAATAAAGAACAAAGGAGGCCGCAGGTCAGCTTTCTGCAACGGTGTCCCCGGGCCCTCGAGGCCCCCGCTTTGGCTCGCTCGCGCGACGTGATATCCTTCAGCGCGGCGGTGACGGCGTGCTGTGACGCAGCCCACTGGCGACAGGCGGTGGAACTTTTTGCCTGCATGCGACTGGGCCGATGGTTGGCATTGTGTATTTTTGCCCTGTTTGGAGAAGACGGAAATCCGGAAGTACTTCAAGCACATTTGCCCTTTGCCAAATTGATGCTAAACATTTGAGAGACATCTGCGGCATTTAGAAAAACCAGAAGCCATATTTTGACAGCATTGTGTTCAAACAACTTTGCTCTTGAGTCGAATGATGCTAGCCAATATTGAAACATGGAAACATTTGAGACACATCTTTTCCCTTTACTACAATGCAGTTTGGTGGTATCGACACATCTTTGGCCTTAGTTGCATGGTTTTAGGAAACTGAATTTTAGGTGTAGGGTCGGTCGCTTGCGACCAAGGCAGAGAACCGGCGTGGACGTGAACGGGGTCGTTTTTGCGGAGCTGGCGCGTGCCTGTGGTTCGGCCTCGGAATGGGAGGCCATGCTTTCCATCACGGGGCAGATGAGGACGAAGGGCTTCGCGCCGGATGCTTTGGTTCTTGCTTCGGCGAGCAATGCCTATCAAAAGGCTGAGAACCTTCCTCGCCTTTTGCTGGCATTGGTAGAGCTAGATGCCAGGACCACCTCGCTTTGCCAACCGAGCGTGGAAAAAGAAGGGAGCGGCTGCACGTGTCACGTGAGGGTGGTGAGATCGCAGCCACGGACGCGACAGCATGCGACGCAGCACGTCGCACTAGGCTTGGACTTGCTGGGGTCGAAGCCTTGCGCGGCTCCCCCGCGCGGTCAGGTCCGATCGTTGCAGCGAGTTGCGGCACAGAAACAACCTGGCTGGTCTGTCCACTTTGCGGGCTTCCCGTCGCAGAGTTGAGGTGGACGGCTGGTGACTTGATCGCTCGATGCCGCACCCTGAAGGTTCTGCAAACACGGTCAGGCGGTTGCTTCAGGTGGTTTGTCGTTTTCCCTTATGGTGTGCGGGTATAGGTTAGCAGTGGTCATACTGTGATGGACGAAAGCCACCGGCTAGTAAGTGACTTCTTACAGTGTTCATTGGGTTTCATTCATCCTGACTGGTGCGAAGCGGATTTTGTCGATCCACACCTTACGTTTTGCCGCCTTACGCGAAAGGAAGCTCCTTTTTGGCAGCCGCCTGCTAGCTTCCAGACGCAAAGTTTGCGGCTCGACACACGTGTCGCTGGCGGAAACAGGCTGCGCGCACACATGCCGAAGCTTTTGATTGCTGGAAGTAGGCTTGGGAGAAAGAGGCGTTCTGCGTTGTGGTCAGATTTGTTCTTGTCCAAGTCGTCAACAGTTAGTTGCCTGCTTCTTTTTTTTTAAATTTATTTCTGCCTTCTCCATCCTGCTAGTTTTTTGGTCATACGGTCATACGGGATTCCACTTATGAGGGCATCTGAACACACCAGCTGTCAACAACTTCGCTCCTTGAAAGCTCGGCGCGTCAAGAAGCTGCTCTTCCTGAAAGCTGGCCAAAGAGAAGAGCAACTCTGAAGGCATTCCATCGCTTAGACCACAAGGCAGTCCATGTGCGGGCATGTGTGCTCGAATTGGGAGAGCCATATTGGTTTCCGTTCACATCCGCATTTTATTTGATTTTGTTTTTTTAAATAAGAGCAGTGTTCATGGATGTTAATGGTGACAGGAACCAGTCTGTTTCCAGTGAATAGAAGCAATCCAAGTTAAATCCGTGTCTTGCCCCACGGCATGGAGCGCGGCATTTTGTTTTCCGACGGCGCAGCTTCGCTTTGTTGTAGTCGTGTAGTCTGAAGCAGACGCCTTTGTGCACTCATTGCCCAACTGCTCCGCAGGGCGCGCGTTTGCCCGTTCAACGGTCGTCTTTATCACGGCGCGTGCCCTGGCGAGCCTCGGCTTGCCGCTCCGCGGGACTGAGAACGGAAAGAAACGCCATGCTTTCTGCGCGTGAAGTGCCAAATGCCAACGCCTCGCCTTTCTTCCGGTTGTTCTATGGTCAGTCTTCTGAGTATGTTGATGCGCGCCCTCGCCATTTCGATTGGGCCCATCCAGCATGAACTCTGCCCCGAGGCAAAGATCGGCGCCTTTCTGGATGATGTGTATGTCACCCCCCAACCCGCCAGCGTGACTCATCCGTTGGATCTTCAGGCCATCCCAACTCCGCCAAGACGCCACTCAGTGAGGCCCATGCAGTTTTGCCCGCCCAGCTCCCCAGCCTTCCCGACCTCCAAGCAGCGTGGCTTTTGCTGCTCTACTGTGTGTCCGCTGGCGCCCATGTGCTCCGCGTGGTGCCCCCTGAGCACCAACAGCCAGCTTGCGTCGCACTGCCAGCAGCCGGCTTCGAGGCCCTGCTGTGACGGGCCCTGCCTGATCCCCGTCTCCTTTCTGCCACGGCGGCCTTCTGCGTGCCGAGGCCCACGCGCATGCCGCTTACTCGCCGGCGTGCCCGATGTTCTGCGCCCTTTTCTTCTCCAGCTCTCTGCGGCTCAGCCTGAGTCCCATCATCGGCGCTCGCGCTCCAGCCAGCCGCCTTTCACCTCGACTGGCAAAAGGATGCTTTCCGTGCAGTTGAGGACCATTTTGACTTGCCTTTGGTGCAAGGAAGCAGCCGGGCGGCTGTCAAGGCCAGTCCACGGCGGCAGTGCTCCACGGCGCGGGAAACGTTTCTACATCAACGCAGGCGGATGTGTGCGGCCGGGGAGGCACTTAGGTCGAGGGGTTTAGTGAAAGGGCTGCGGGTCCTCGCTAAGGCTGCGCCCTCACTGCTCCGCAAAAAAGGCTGCGGCCTGGGGGACGCGTGTTCGCCGTCCTTGACTTGTACATTGCCGCCGCTCGGGGAAAGCTTGGAACTTGTTTGACGCAGCGTCCCGGTGCTTGTGCGAAGGATGTTTTTTTGTTGCCTCCTCCGTTGGGTTTATTTGAGTCAGAACGACAAACCTGAATTCAGGACATATGAGTTGTACAAACGGGCCAGCTTGTGACCTCCATCGAAAATTTTCCGTGGCTTACGGCAAGCACTGGGGGCGACACTCCTAGAGGATGGTGCCTGGTGAGACGATGTCGCAACGAAGGCACGTTCCCATCAACTTTCTGCACAGGAGGCACTGCGTTGTTTTCGGCTCGGCCTTGTTGGGGGCCTGCCAGGTCCCCCCCAACAACAAAAATCAGGGCGCCAGAGGGTTTGTGTGGCCATTGGTCCAGGGCCAACTCCTCACTTGTGCGCTGTTGAAGAAAAAAGGCTGGACCAGCCAAACATTCGGTCAACACTATCTGGGGCCCGGCCAGTACACAACTCTCAGCTACAAAATTCGGCAGCCGCCCTCCGCCAGGCTCGGCGCGACAAGGAACGCACTTCCCGGGAGTTGCTCTCTTTCAGTTGGTGTCGCCTCGTTGTGCTTGCAATCCAGGTCGCTGAGCAGTGGAACCCAAAAGCGCAGTTCGTCCAGATCCTTGCCAGGCCAAAGCTCGCCGGGCAGCGCGTGCGGTTGTCAGCTTTGCTGTCCTTTGCTGCCGCCTGTGCGTTCGCTCGCAACCTTCTTGGCCTGCCCGGCCCCAACGCGCGTGTCAGCGACGTCCCTTCTGCTGGTTCTGCGAGGTGCCCGCGTGCCCGGTCAGTGGTATACCGGGCGTGCCCCCCAGCGATGCTGTTTGGCCGGCCACCGGCCTTACACAGCCCCAGCAGCGCGGATGGAACCATGCTGCGCTCCCAGCCAGGCCCTGGTGCCAGCAGCTTCACCACTGTGCCCACTTGCCGTGCTTTGAGTTCCTCCGACGTGCTCCTCGCCTCCGCCCAACTCCCCCTCTCCCAGCGTTCTTGCCGGTGTCGTGGCCTCTGGAACCTCGCGCCGGCCACCGCACTGCTGCCGCAGTGTAAAGGACTTTTCGGCGAGCATGGCTCTTTGAGGAGCAGCGCCGTCGGCCGAGTCGACGACACACGGCTTGATGTCGTTGCCGAGGCGAACGACCCCCTCCCTGATTCCTGGGCGCACTTTGCCATGACAGCTTTTGTCGCTTAAGAGCCTTTGGACCCTTGACCGAGCAGGAAAAACGCGCCGGCCCGCCGCGGCCACAGCGCGCCATAGGCTAGCTCCGGAACTTCCCAACCCTGCGAGGCCCCTGGGTTTTCCGACCCTGTGGGGCGCTCGGCCCGTGTTGCCCCCCCACCACCCTGGACTTCCCGACCTGCAGCCCCCGTTGCTCCGCAACGCGCTGGACGCGGGAACAGGGCGATCCCTTAATGCCAGCCCTTTTTTGCCCTTGCGCAACATGGTGCGCTTAAGTCAGCTGCTGCCAGGGGAGCGGCTCCTGGCTTTCATGGACGACATCTACGCCAGTACCTCGCCAGACCAATCCCCCGCCGCCGAGGTCGTTCCCTGGCAGTTTCAGAGCGAGGTCCTTGCGCAAGTTGACTCAGCTTCTCAAGTTCTGTTGCATTCGCAAGGTGGCCCGCACAGTGGCTGCGATCCCCTTCTCGACCCTTTTGGCGACCACCGAGCAGCCTTCCCCCGGCCAGGCGCATTGCGCAGTCGTGGATGCCCCCTTGAGTGCGCTGCCCGGAGTTGCCGTGAGGCCGGCGCCCACTCAGCTCGCAGTCGACACGACCATCGTCGCCCCTGACCCGTGATGCTGCACCACGCTGCCGCCGCGATCCTGCCCGGCCCGCTGCGTTGCTTGAAGCCAGGAGGCAAAAGGAGCGGACCTACCCTAGTCGTCCTGAGGGTTGAGGTCGGCCGCCTCGAGCTGGTCGATAAGCGGCAGGGCAAGGTGGTCATCGATTGCCCGGACACGCTGCCACCCGCGGGAACTGTTTCCTGTCCAATCCTTTCTGGGAGCCGACTGGCGGCCGTTCTGCCTGCCACCGCGGCAAGCACCACCCAGCTTTGCTGCGTTTTAGGCGTCGTGGGCGGGTAGCCTGCCTTCGGCCGTGCGCGCTCCTGCCTCAGCTCGAATTCCCCCAGCCCGAGTCCGCGTCGGCCCGTGACCTCGGGCTTGGCCCGACGCGGACCCTTGCAAAGACCCGAAGCAGCAGATGGAGCACTGGCCACCTGCCTCGCGCAATTGCGAGGACCTGATCTTGGGGCATGCCCTGCTGCAAGCAATTTTGATGACCCGGGCACCAAGGGTTTGCGCGGCGTTTAGCAAACCACTGCACGCGGGCACCTCGCACTACCAAAGGCATCGTTGACATTTGGCGAGCCAGGTTGAGATCGGCCAAACGGGTGTTGGTGGCCACCCGGGCCCCAGCTTCACGGCGGGCGGCCGCCCGTTCGAGGGCACCCGCAACTCCGCAACACACCCGCCCGAGAACACGTTGCCCGGGAGTCCAAACGGCGATGACACCGGCAGCTGTTTTCGGTGATGGGGAGTCAGTCCGAAAAACGAGCGCTCAGAGGGGTCAAGGCGGAAGGATAGGTCCTGGAAGAGACGGTCGTTTCTTCTTCTATTTTCTTCGCGCGCCTTTTTCCGCAGCAACTGTCTGTCGGGATTCGCCTCCGGGCACCAGAGGGCCTGGCTTTTGGGGGAGGGGTTCGCCCCCAAGCACCAGAGGACTTTGCAAAAAACACACACCACAGGCATCTAGACCGTGCAGGGGGTCGGCTTGCAAGCAAGTCAAAAAGAAGGACCACTGCGGTCCGCAAGGGCTTCACTGAGATTCGGGATGGGGCCCTCAACGCACGACAAGCCGGCGGAAGGCATGGCAGACAAATTCGAGGCAGAAACACCCGGACCACCGATGGACCAGAGCAGCCTGATGGTCGTCGGGCTCGGAGCTCCAGCGCCCCGGGTGTTTTTGGCTGCTCCCACTTCCCCGGAGCTTTGCCTCGAGCCTTCGCTTTCTCTTGCGCCGTTCGCTGCTCCCTTTGCTTTTGGGTTCTGCCT